GGCATTGTAGAGGCGGTCGTATGCCTTGATGGTTACATGCTCAGCTTTGAAACCTCATAGTTGGAACTGTGGTACACCTCTTTGGGATATTACTTTGTAGAGGTGGTCGCATGCTTTGGAATCTCACAGTTAGAACTATGGTACACCTCTTTGTCCATGAGGTGGTTGCATGCTTTGCTTCGAGGGCTTACAGCTAGAACTGTGGTACACCTCTTTGTGATATGGCTTTGTAGGGGCAGTCGCATGCTTTGAAATCTCATAATTAGAATTGTGGTAAGCCTCTTTGTCGATGAGACGATTGCATGCTCTGCTTCGAAACCTCACAGTCGGGACTATGGTACATCTCTTTGGGATATTGCTTTGTAGAGGCAGGCGCATGCTTTGAAGTGTATGTCTTGCTTCGAAGCCTCACAATCACAACTGAGGTACACCTTGATTAGGGAGGACACCCCGGAGGGATGACGTTCTTTCACCGGGGACTTATGAAGAAGGATGTAATAGGGGATGTGTAGGAGGGTGTCATGCGGTAACACCATGGAGACATCTAATAATAAGAAGCAGTTTATAGTCGTGTGATTGGACTGTATGTCGCACAGTTTAACATCTTGCTACAGGGACATGACAGTTTTACTTGTAATGACCCTTAGGGTAGGATCAACATGCCCATCATTCAAGAGTGAGTGCCCTAAAGGGCTTTCATTACACCCCAGTTATTTTGACACTCTTGCCCATAGTTCCCTTATGGGTTTTCATTATGCCCGTCTCCCTTTTTTTTTCTTTTTTTTTTTGACATATTTTGCCCATGGTGTCATTTGGGGTGCACACCATGTCCGTCATTTCTTTCTCTTCTCTCTTCTTGACATTTTTACCCATGACGCCCTTTCGGGTTTTCCTCATTGTTTGAACACATTTTTAACACCTTGGGTCTTTGCTGCGGAATAAAAGAGAAGCCGGTCAATAAAGCCTTGACATACAGTAGAATTCTTGACAGTCTCAGAATTTCCTCAGAATGGATAAAAATGTTTCCAAGGATTTCAAAAGGCCACCTGCCAAGTTTCGTCGCAATCTGACATGTTTAAGGCAGCTTAGACAAACAAACAGTTTCAAAAAAATCAGCCTCTAGCACCTTGAAATAGACCCCGTAACTAGAACACTATTTTTGGTGTGTCAACTGGTTGTGGGACCACCACCATTGGATCCGACATGATTGAAAACCTTTAAGGGTTGAGTTACGGCTTAAAGGGACGTTCCAAGACAAAGTTAGGGGTGAAACATTATAAAGGGGAAGGCCGCATGCTATTCCCCTGCGGCGTCCCTGCACCAATCTCCATTAAAGGAGACTGGTTCGCACAGTCACGAGTAGCAACTTTGAAGACTCGTATCTCACTCGTTTTGAGTCGGATCACGCACAAATTTTACGAGCATGTTCATCACATCAAGACGAGTGTTTTGATAAGTGGCACGCCCCGTGAAGATGCCCGAATAGGGAGAAAATTTAGAGAGAAGATAACAATTCGGGACAAAAGTTGCAGGAAATTCAGCAGCGACGCGTCTCACTCGAACGGCCGTATCACGACGCTCACACAAAGGATCGACGTGAGACCAGTTCCATTGCGTGTGTCAGGTCTGAGGCTACATCTGGGCCAACCTTGTACATGATGAACAGTCAGATTTCACATGCAACGCCAATAAAGTTACTATAAATTTCGATCATCGGAATTCAAGATTCAGCTAAAAACCCAAGATGGCAAAATCTTCGTCCGGGCATGAAATTGAGCAGCGTTTATTGCAACGCGATCGTGACAACACTCTTAGTCCTATTTAATGAAGAAATCATGAAAAAAATAAGGAACGAGCGCACTATCGATCAGAAGTTTCCAAGATTCATCCAATTTTCAAGTCGCATGATCGTGATCTAAAAACACGCTTCGTGGCTCGAAGTTGGTACCAAATTGATCGTCATGCCGAGCCCAGTGAGAAAGATATCATCTTTTTGCAAAATGAGTGGCGGAGCATCGTCCATGGAAGATCATGCACGTTCTAGAGTAGCAACATAAACTGTTTTGAAATTTTGTATATTGTTGGGCAGGGGCAAAACCATCATTTTGCTCCTATTTTTAGATTTTATTTAATTCAAATATTTTGTAATTATCATTAATTAGGTCAGATTTTGGGCATCCACCCATGTTTTGGGCCCAAGTCTATAAATACAACGCTGTACCCCATTGTAAAGGACCTTCAAGCTGAAGAATAAAAATTGAGAGTTAGCTTCAATTGAAGGTCAAGTCCAAGAGAGAGACTGGGGAGAGAGAAAAAAGGTCGGTACCCCTCAATGAAGGTAACTTTCTCTCTCCTCTTTTCTCTCCTCTCCTTTCTTTCTCTCTCCTCTACTTTCTTTCTCTCTCTTATTTTTCTTTTCTTTGTCTCTCTCCTCCCTGCCCCAAACATGGCACTAACCATCGCCATGTGTGTCTCTCTCTCTTTCTCCTTTTTCTTGTCTTTCTCTCTCTTCCTCTTTTTACCTCTCTTCACTCTCAACATACACGACAGTAGGCACTGCCGTGCATGTCTCTCTTCCCTTGCTTTCCTCTTTTCTCTCTGTTCTCTTTCCTCTCTCATCTCCCCTCTTTCCTAATCTTTCTTTGTCTTTTCTTCTTTTTCTTTATTCTTTCCTTTCTCTCTCTTCTCCAGTCATGCATGGTGATGCCCATCGTTGAGCATGACATTCACCTTCTTTTCTTATCTTTGAAACATACACAGTGAGCCGGGCCTTAACCCAAGTGACGGGCCAAGCCTCTGTATGAGTTGCTTCTCCCTTTTGACGTGCAAGGCAATACCCATCGCAACGCGTGACATTTCTTACCCTATTCCCTGATAAGGACATTGAATCGGGCCCTTTCTCGAGTGGTGGGCTGGGTTATGTCTGAGTCCTTTTTGACACACACGACAATGCTTATTGTCATGCATGTCTTTTCTTTTTTCTCTCTCTTAACTCTCTCTCATCATGGACAGTGGAACCTGTTACTGTCCATGTTCTCTCTTTCTCTCTCCCATCATGGATAGTGGGACCTATCACCATTCATGTTCTCTCTTTCTCTCTCTCATATCACGGACGGCAGGACTTATCGCCGTCCATATTCTCTTTTTCTCTCTCTCCTATCATGGACGGTGAAACCTATCGCCATCCATGTTCTCTCTCTCCTATCATGGATGGTAGGACCTATCGTCATCCATGTTCTCTCTTTATCTTTCTCCTGTCATGTACGAGGGACCCTATCACCGTCCATGTTCTTTCGTTCCCTCTCTCTCCTCCATCATGAATGGCGAGACTTCATCGCCGTCCATGCTTCTTCCCTCTTTCTCTTTCCTCTGTCATGGATGGTGAAATCCCATCGCCTTCCAGGCTTCTATCTTTCTTCTCTCACTTCTTCCTTCTTTCTCTCTCTTCTTTCTTCTCTCTTCTTTATCTCTCTCCTACCCTTTCTTCTCTCTTTTCTTTCTCTCTCTCTCTCCCTCCCTTTCTTCTTTCTTCTCTATTTTCGTTCTCTCTCTTCTTCCTTCTCTTTCTTCTTTCCTCCTCTCGCTTTCTTCATTCTTTTCTCTCTTCTTTCTCTCTCCTACCCTTTCTTCTTTCTTCTCTCTTTCTTTCTCTCTCTTCTTCCTTCTCTCTCTTCCTTCTTCTTCCTCATCTCTTTTCCTTCTGTCCCTTCTCTATCTTCTTTCTCTCACTTCTTCTTTCTTCCCTATTGTCTCTCTTTCTTCTTCTTTTTTCCCTCTCTCTCTTCTCTCTTCTCTTTTCTCTCTCTTCTTCCTTCTCTTTTCTCTCTTCCTCCTTCTTTCTCTTCTCTCTTCTTCCTTTCTTCCTCTTTCATTTGACTAAGGGACGCTAAGACTAGCATTTCCATGGTAGTCCTGTCGTTGAGCAGTATTGCCGCCATGCCGGGTTGAGTTACCATGCCCATCTTGCTGCCACGACAAGTTAGCCATTGTGCCAGGCTAGTCGGTGCTGGTCTTATCATCGAGTAGTATTGCCGCAGTGCCAGTCTGAGTTATTGTGCCCGTCTTGCTACGACACCAGGTCAATCACCGTACTGGTTCAGCTATTGTGTTAGTTTAGCCATCTGATCAACTTTCTCCTTCTTCTCTTCTCTTCCCTTTATTTTATTTCTCCTTCTCCTCTTATCACGCCAATCTCCATCTCATTCCTTGACTTTCTTCCTTGAATGCACACACCTATGTTCCTTCGCTCAAAGATATGGTGGGGTCCCTCGGCCCACTTGTCTTGTAAATTAGCCGTGTGTGTGTGATTGTAGAAACAACAGAGTACAAGTCCAGGAAGGTGATTCCAAACCAATTGTAAGACTGGGGGGCTTTCCGACGTGATCTAAGAGGGTGCCCACGTGAGTCAGCCCTAGTGAGTCACGGACCCAGGTGAGGTGTGTCCCGCCTCACATTATATTCCTCTCTCATCGGTTGGTGTACCTGCCCTTGTTTTGTAACAAGGTTCCCGAGAGAGCGATCTCAAGTCTCAGGTTCCCCTGAAACCCAAGACACGTGCCACTAGGTCTGACTTGGGGGAGACATCGAGGCACCTAACCAATCATGTCCATCTCCCTCTTTTTTTATTAGCGAAGGTTTGTTTAAGGTCATGCCACCGTTTCCATCAATTTGGCATGTTTGAAGGTCATCCGTAGAGACCTGAGGGCATGTTTAAGGTCTTACCTCCAAGACCGTAGGGCATGTTTAAGGTCTTACCTCCAAGACCGTAGGGCATGTTTAAGGTCTTTCCTCTAAAACCGTAAGGGTAGTGTGTTTTATTGTCATGCACTAAGATTGGAGGGCATGTTTAAGGTCTTGCCTCGGAAACCGAAAGAGTAGTGTGTTTTATGGTCATACACCATGACCGGCGGGCATGTTTAAGGTCTTGCCTCCGAGACCGTATGTTGCATAGTTTAACGTCGTGCTACCAGGATGTGTGTTACAGTTTAGGGTCGTATAGCTTAGACCATGTGTGGCACTGGATCACGTGTGGAATCAGGCCCCAAATTCAATTTTCCCTTATCCATGAAGTTCTGGATGATATCTTTAGCGGCATGGCACTCCTCGGTCTTGTGACCAAGTCTTCTATGATATTGGCAGTAATTGGGTTTGTTGTTCCCTCTGACTTCTCCCGGTCTTTTTGGCATGGGTAGCTCGATCATCCCCTCTGATAGGAGGATATCAAGCAATTTGGGGACCATGAGCTTGTCAAAGGAATAACTCTTGTTCCAACTTTGACTTGAGGAGTGCATGGTATTTGTCATTGCATCTGCCAACTGATCATCATCATTGACCAATGTGAAGGGCTCAGATACATTTCCATGGTGCTTGAGCAAGCTTTTGATTTGTACTGCCTTGTTGACCATCTTGGTGAACATAGGAGGCCATGTTGAGGTGACATAACAAGTCAATTCTTGGTGCATCCTGTCTATGTAGTACTCCATCTCTTGGAGCTCACCTATTGGAGTGGTAAAATTGATGGCCAGAGTACGCCACCTTTCGATATATTCGATCATTGGCTCATGTGGCTTTTGTCTTACCTCAAGAAGCTCGAAAAGTTGCACTTTCTTTTCTATGTCGCAGAAAAGCTTGAGGAACTCTTCTTCCATTTGTACCCATGATGAGATTGACCCTGGTGGTAACCGAGAGTAACATTTGAATGCAGGTCCCGTAAGAATTCCCACAAATTGCCGAAGCAATAGCTGGTAAATGTTCGTTGTATTGCCACAGGCAGCAATGAAGTGGGCTATATGTTGTTGTGACGAGCCAGTGCCATCATACTTGGGGAAGTTGAGTCTTTGGTAACCGGGTGGGAATGGAGTTTTGTCAACATACGCTGGGTAAGGCTTTTGATAGAGATTCAACTCTTCCATCACTGGGATATTGTACTTTTTCAATGCTTCAGCTACCATGCCATACACTAGTTCTCGATTCCTAACCTAAGTCGATAGGGAAGAGACCGGAAATGAGGGAGGAGAGGGTGGGAGTGGCTCTTCTTTTGATGGTGTGGTTTCGATGACCAGGCAAGGTGTTTGAGAGACAGTAAAGAGGGCTTAGTACCCCGATGGGGCATGAGACACCAATACCTCTTGGCGCAAAGTTTCCACCATTTCGCCTTTTGACCTCATCTTGGCTTGTAACTGCCTTAATGTTATCTTACGCTGCGCAATCTCGTCTCCATAGGGTTCTGGCACTTCATTGATCACTAGAGCTTCAATAGTTGCCACACTTGAGGGCTCTTCTTCTATTTGCCCATTACATGCCTCAGAGCTTACAATCTTGGATTTGATTGCTACTGCTTCAACATCATCATTGGTGAGGGTCATTGAGCCTTCTTCAGGCCTACTTCATTTTCCAAGGCTTGGTTATCCTCGTGCTCTAATGAGAATGTGAAATTCTCATAAGATGATGAGATCACATCATCATCATTGAGGGAGCATTTTTCGAGATACCAAAAGAACATGCGATCGTCCTTATATGGAGCCACGACACATTCAAGACATGGAGCTGATATGCAGTCAGCCTCATAATGAATCATGGCGTCTTCGGGAGCTGGAGGCACCATTTCATTGGGGTGGTCAGCGAAGGGAATACTGGCAATCTCGTCCTCTTTTAAGAAATGATTTTCCTTGAATGAGAGTGACGAGATCTCGTCAAAGGTAGGAGTCATTGGGTGGATGAGGACGAGTGATGTCGCCCCATCAAAATTGAGCTCGTCATCACTAAACAGGAATGTGAAACCCTCATAGGATGAGGCCATACTGTCATCGTATGGAGTGCACATGTACCACGCATGACATGGGGGAAGCATGCAGCTATCTTCGTGGGGAATGATGGTGCCTTTAGGGCATGAAGGAGCCATTTCAGTGGGGCTGCCTGTAGGGGTAGTGCAGCTCATCCCATCTAGTAATCGGGAGTGGCTTTCCTTGAATGAGAGTGACAAACTCTCATCAAAGGTAAGAATATTTGGATGAGAGGGTGAGGGAGGCCACATCATTAGGACCATCCAGAGTAGACGACGGTTCATCAAGTCTCTTAGATTCTAAGACGAATCCCGGTGAAGGCTGGAAGAGGGTGAAGAGCAGCACAGTCCCCATGTTCATAAGGTTGATCTCAATAATGAGTTTCTCAACTCACTGAAGCAACTCATCAGTACCAATTTTCTTTTCAATTGCATCTTGGGGAGCTGGGATGTCGAGGCAAACTTTGGGAGGAGCTGGTGGATTATTCTCTTGCATCATGGGAAGAATACCAGTCCCTTCATAGTTCGAACTTTCCACCACCAAGGGATCATGAACAGCGCCCTCGGTGGATTCGGTTTCTGTCTCACTTAAGTCACTGGGATTGCCCCTCAGCGGTACCTTCTGACTCAACAGGAGTCTAGGGGAAACTGGTTCGGGTCCATGAGCTGCCCCTAGCTCAATCTGCTCGTAGGAGACTTTGATCTCAGTGCCCTAACTTGAAAGGGGCTCATGAGTTTGATTGGGTGATGGCTCAATTGGCTCAGGATTGATGGTCACCAGGGTCAGATTGGCTCTTTGCCCCATTCACAGGCTCATCTTTGCCCCGAGTGGGGCTTCGAACCTTATAGATAACAGGCTTCGTTGTGCCCTAAGCAATCTTCTTGGCATTCACCACATGACATGCTTCTCCAACATCATCCGTATCGAAGGGAGTAAGAGGGGAGAAAGGGCTCTCATTATGGAAGGGAAGTTTACAATCAATTTTTTTTCTTTACCCCTGAGCTGGGCTTTCAATGTCTTGGTCTCCCAGCCCCATTTCCAGGCTTGACCGTGATTTCCCTTCTTCATGGCCAGGTAAAATTACCTTCGAGCAAAGACGAGCTATTCTTCCAACCGTCTTTCATAAATGCCTTTAGAACTAGGGTAGGCCCTAGATCCGTGCGTGTGTGCACAATGCAGAGAGTGCGGTACTAGGATTGCCCCGAGAAGGGACAAAGGATCCGGCTTTAGCAGTGCCGGCCTTGTCGTGAAGTGTGAACGATAGGGCAACTTGGTAGTCACCATTCGTGCAGTGAATAAACATGTGCTCTTGTGGACCATGGCTAAGCCATTGTTCGTGTGCTCGTTGGGACATGACTTTTGAGTCCCCAAGAGTAAAGGGACAAGGATGCATCATGCTTGTTGGAGTGACCATCGGGTTCATCCTATGTGTGGGGCTAGGCTCCAAGAGACCCAGACCGTGATGATGGACCGGGGTAGCCTTGGAGTTGCCTCGAGACACAGACCTTGTGAACGAACTGCTAGTCCTAGTGGGTGGGTGAGAGGAAATAGCTTTAAAGCCTCCTCTTTGTGTCAAACCTCCAGAGATGGGGGTTCGAAGTGATGCAAAATGAGGGGGGTGGTTGTACGGTTACCTACAGAAGCAACGACAGACGAACTGCCAATCGCAGAAGAGGGGGGTGGGTGACCCTTTTGGCTGGCCTGAGCAAGATGACCTGTGATGTGAGTGGCGGCTATTGTGCCACCTGTGCAAGTGACACTGATGATACATTTGTCAATGTCGGGAAGCAGGGTTTAGGGACTTGCGAGTCCCTCCTCGCCTCAAGCCAGGTAAGAACCCAGGAGTGCGAAACTGAATTAACGTTAAAAAAGAAATCTGGGAATGAGGTTCGCAGAACTTGGTCCCTGGGGATGGACTTCGAGTGCGGGATTATGGAATCCCCGACTTGAACATAGGGGTTGAATAACCCTGATGTCATGCTAGTGTGTATTGGAACAATAAAGAACTTGTCAAGCAAGATGAGCTGACGATGGGGTAGTGTGTCCTCGGTGGAGTCGCAGAGCTGGTAGGTGCCTCGATCTCACCTTTTGGGTCGGGAAGACCTGGTGGCATGGTTCCGGGTTCGTGACGAGCCCGAGATCGGAGATCGCTCTCTCGAGAACCGCATAAAGAAGACGGGGGCAGGGTACCAACCGGTGAGAGAGGAATTAAGGTCGTGATGCAGGACTTACCTCACATGGGACCGTGATACTCTCGGGTTGGCTCGGGTGGGCACCCTCTTAGATCACGAAGAATGCCCTTGGCCTGAGGCTGATTCGGCTTCAACTCCCTTGACTCATTTTTTTGTGTTCCTGCACACACACACACATGAAATGTCCTAACAAGTGGGTCTGGGGACCCAGACTTGTCGAAATTAAAATAACGTGAAATGAAAAAATGAAAGGGAAAGGGATGAATTAAATTAGAAAATGGAATTAGAATAAAATAATATGAAATAAGTAAGAGAAATAGAATAAAAATAAAATGAAGTAAAGTAAAATAAAATAAAGGAGTTTAAAAGATAAAATAAAATGAGGTAATGGAAATAAAGTAAAGTGAAATAAAATAAAGTAGGCAAATAAAATAAAGTAAAGTAAAGTAAAATAAAATAAATGAATAAAATAAAGAAAGTAAAGTAAGATAAAATAAGCGAAATAAAATAAATAGAATAAAGGAAAATAAAATGAAATGAGTGAGGTAAAATAAAATGAAAGAGGTAAAAGAAAGGGAATAAAATAAAATAGTGTAGAGTAAAATAAAATAAAAGGGATAAAATAAAATAAGTTAATGAAAATAAAATAAAATAAATGAATGAAGTAAAGTAAGGTATAATAGGATAAAATGAGTGAAGTAAAATAAATAAAATAACATGAGTTGGAAGGGATAAAATAAGTTGAGATGATGTAAATAATATGGTAAAATGAAACAAAGGGAAATGAATGAGAGAAGATAAAATGAAATAAATAAAAAGGAAAGGCATTTGGTTAAGAGAAAGAGAGGCTTGAAATTGGTTATTGGTGAGAAAGTTGGATAAAAACGAAATGAAGGGTATGGAGAAGGTGAAACGAAACAAACTGAATGAAAAAAACGAAAAGAACGAAAAGGACAGATGGGGCGACAGGAGGAGCAAAGAGAGGGGGGTCGTTGTTGGGTTTTACGTGAGAGTGTTGAACGAAAACGAAACTAACGAATGAAAGGAAAAAGGTCAAAGGGAGGATGGTTTGTTCGTTTGGGTGTTTTGGAGAGAGAAAGTGCAGCAAGGGGATGGGAGAGTTGCGGACGATCGTGAAGGGGCTAGAGGTTGCAGGTGATCGTGAAGAGGAACGGAGAGGCGTGAGAGGGTTAGAGAGAGAAAGTAGTGAGGTGGGAAAAGAAGGTGGCTGCAAGCGGTGAAGAAGAATATGGTGGCCTCAGAGAGGCTAAGCGGGGATGGTTTGGTTGCTGGCGACAGCTGAGGCTGAGCGGGGATGGCAGCTGAGGTCGGGGACGGAGAGGTTCGCGATTTGGTTGTAGGTGGGTGGAAGTGAAGAAGAGAAGAACACGGGGGAGGAGTGAAAGAGGCAGAGAATGAGAGGGGGCTTTGGGTGCAGATGGCAGTGGAGGGTGAAGAAGATGGGGGCGAGAGAAGAGAGAGAGCAGCAGAGTGAGAGAGGGGGCAGCAGTGCGGTGGCTGAGATGAGAGCTCGGCAAGAGAAGGGTGGCGCATGGCAGTGGTTAATGCGCGTGAGAGTTATCTCGCACGGTAGTGGTTAACTTGTGTGGAAGTTGTTGCGCATGGCAGTGGGTGAGATGGCGCACAGCCGGGTTGAGGGGCACGACAGTATGTGTACTTGCTCGGCGGGGAGAGAGGGATGTGCACGACAGTAAAGGGGGCTTGGCGATGGGTTGTGCACGGCGGGGAGATGAAAGAAATGGGCGAACGTTAGGGAGCATGAGTTATGAGAGGGAAAGAGTGAATTTCAGGGACAAGAAAAGAGAAAAAGAGAGTGGACGTGAGGGTGTATCACGACCCGGCTCCTTGACCCATTTTTACGGTTCACGGAGGGCGACAAAGCATGAGATTGCGTACGTCACTCTGGTGTGTTGTTATAAAATCGGAATCAAAGCAAACCATGAATAACAAAAACTAAAAAAACAAAAGGCTACAAATGGAGCAAAAATAAAACCATATATATAGATCGAGTCTTCAAAAATTCTTTTACAAGGGTCAAGGCGCTACTGGCCTAACAACAAAATTACAGTATTCATCACAATACATTGTGGCACAACCACCAGAAGCCTACAATCGAAGGATCCTTGGACAGAACTGGAGCTTCACAGGTCCGCTACCACCGTTCAGCAGTCCACACATGAGCTATCAGTTGTCACTCTATAGAGAATGGAAAAGAGAGGCATGAGCTAAAAGCCCAGTAAGTAAATCAATACCCTGCATTCTTGCCTATAAGCTTATAAATAATGACATGGCCTACAGTCTATCAAACATCGTACTGGCATCAGAAAGTCGAGTCATGTCTCAGAATATGTACACTAATAGTATAAAATG